TTCATTTTCTTGGGCTCCAAAATCACTGCAGATGGTGACTGCAGCCATAAAATTAAAACACGCTTGCTCCTTGGAAGAAAAGCTATGAGCAACCTAGACAGCATATTAAAAAACAGAGACATTACTTTGCCAACAAAAGTCCATCTAGCCCAAGCTGTGGTTTTTCCAGTAGTCATGTGTGGATGTGAGAGTTGGACTATAAAGAAAGCTGAACGCCGAAGAATTGATGCTTTTGAACTGTGGTGTTGGAGAAAACTCTTGAGAGACCCTTGGACTTCAAGGAGATCCACCCAGTCCATCCTAAAGGAAATCAGTCCTGAATATTCATTGGAAGGACTGATGCTAAAGCTGAAACTCCAGTACTTTGGCCATCCTATGAGAAGGACTGACTCATTTGAAAAGACCCTGATGCTGGGAAAGATTGAAGGCAGGAGAAGGGGACAACAGAGGATGAGATGGTTGAATAGCATCACAGGCTCGATGGACATGCTTCAGGAGTTGATGATGGACAGGGAAGCCTAGCGTGCTGCAGTCCATGGGGTCGCAAAGAGTCAGACACGACTGAGCTAAACTGAAAGCCATGTAGAAGACTTCTCTGGTGGCTCAGTGTAAAGAGTCCAGCTGAAGTGCAGGAGACTCCCTAAGTCCACACTGATACAAAAAGATTATAAAGAAGTAGAAGAACGGAAAGCTTTTCTTTAGACAAGATAACGCAGGGCTTGCCTGGTGGTCCCGTGGCTGAGAACCCACCTGCCGGTGCAGGGGACACAGGTTCAATCCCTGGTCCGGGAAGATGCAGCTTGTTGCGGAGCGCCTAAGCCTGCGCACCACGGCTCCTGAACCCAGGCTCCAGAGGCTCTGCTCTGCAGCAAGAGAAGCCCCCGCAGTGAGAAGCCCGGGCACCGCAGCTAGAGGCCAGCGCCCACTCGCCACAGCTAGAGAAAGCCTGTGTGCGGCAGCGACCTGGTGCAGCCGAGAACACATAAATAGGGAAAGACAGCTAATAAATGTTAGTGTTCTGTCTTCAGCTTACAACCATTACAATAACATGTGATTTGTGCAAGAATCATTAATGGATGCTAAAGCCTGGCATATTTTGGTAAAGAACAGGATATTTCACACAGTCTCAAACTATCACCCTACAGATTACTTGGGGATACCTTTACAGCGCTGGGGGACAGCAGTTTAACTGAATGATCAAACTCGGCAATGCCAGTGGGACAGACGGACACTGTACCTCCTCATGTTATTAGCTGAGAAAGATGTAGTATTCCGGCCAAAACCAAATTTAACCTAAACACAAGCCTTTATATCTTGCAGAACACAAAGAAGCAAACAGAAAGCAAAACCCTAAATCACAGGTCATTCTGCAAAACAGCTGGCCTGGAGACTTTTGACAGTCATCTGTCAGTGTCATGAATGACAAAAAGCACAAAAGCTAGAGAGTTGTTCTGGGTTAAAAACAACTAAAAATATGCCAGCTAAATGCAATGAATGATCCATGAGTGGATCCTGGACATTAAAAAAAGGGTTGTTGGACTTTTCCTGGTCTTGTGGTTCAGAATCTGACTGCCAGTGTATGGGACCCAGGCTCGATCCCCGGTCTGGGAAGATCCCACATGCTGGGGAGCGACTAAGCCTGTGTGCCACAACTGCTGAGCTCACACGCTGCAGCCACTGAGGCCCCAGAGCCCTAGAGCCCGTGCTCTGCAATGGGGAGAGCCCCTGCGGTGAGGAGGCCCTGCTTGCTGCAACTAGAGAAAGCAGCGACAGAGACCCAGCGCAGCCATAAATAAATGTTTCTTAAAAAAAAGAATTATTGTGGAATTCCCTGCTGATCCAGTGGTTAGGACTCAGCACTTTTACTGAGGGGCCCGGGTTTGATCCTTGACCAGGCAAGACGTGCAGTGTGGCCAAAAAAAGAGAGTCGTTATTGAGATAATTGGAAAAATTTGAAGATGGGTTTTATATTACACAATTCTGAATCAGCATGACATTTTCTTTTTTTTTTTTCCATGTATTTTTATTAGCTGGAGGCTAATTACTTTACAATATTGTAGTGGTTTTTGCCATACATTGACATGAATCAGCCGTGGATTTACATGTGTTCCCCATCCCGATCCCCCCTCCCACCTCCCTCCCCATCCCATCCCTCTGGGTCTTCCCAGTGCACCAGCCCTGAGCACTTGTCTCAGGCATCCAACCTGGGCTGGTGATCTGTTTCACCCTTGATGGTATACTTGTTTCAATGCTATTCTCTCAGATCAGCCCACCCTCGCCTTCTCCCACAGAGTCCAAAAGTCTGTTCTATATATCTGTGTCTCTTTTTCTGTCCTGCATATAGGGTTATTGTTACCATCTTTTTAAACTCCATATATATGTGTTAGTATACTATATCGGTGTTTATCTTTCTGGCTTACTTCACTCTGTATAAAGGGCTCCAGTTTTTGTTTGTTTTTTTTTTTTAACCTAAATTTTAGTTTTAGACATATTAGGGATTCTGCTGTATGGAAATTTATGTTCTTAACTTGGAATGGCAATATTAATTCCAAATATTGGGGGAAAACTACTTTTTAAGGCTTTTAACATCACGTATGAACCCTATAATTGCTACTTTAATATTTATCTTAACTCTTTTTCCATCCATGTTTGTTTTTATAGTTTCAACCAGGGAATTTTGTTTTACTGGTATAAAGAGATGACTGTGTCTTTGTGAGCTGGCCTGGATTATAACTGGCTTTTAGTGGTCATATGTGTTCTCTTTTGTTACTCTGAAGAATGAATTGCCCCTTTCAAGAGGCTGGTTTAGCAGTGAGTTGCTATTTTATATTAGAGTAATTGATTCGAGCTATTCTTTCCTTGGGCTCTGAGCATATTTGAAATGGCCAGTATTTCTGATGGGAAGGTATGGTGAAGTTTGAATAAGGAGAGGACAAAGAACTTCCTCTTATTTAGCAAAAGTCAGACCTGCTTAGCAGCGGCAAACGCAATTTATCCTCTTGTCTGAAAACTTTTTGCTCTTAATTTAAGGACTTTCTCCAAAGAATATGACAACAAACAAAAGAGGCAGAAATTTGTTTTCTCCTTTCTGTCCCCTCCTTCCTGTTTCAGGGAGCAGAAGAGTTTATATTGTCCTACTTAGTTATCTTGTGTATCACAAAAGAGTAGATGGTTTCTATAAATTTTCTTCCTATTTCAGTTTTATTGATCTTGTTGATGACCTGAGTCAACTAAGTTTTTTTATGTTGAACATTCTGAAGTCTACATCCAGTGGATCTGAAAGGCAGAAGTTTCAGGCATTGTTTTATGTGGAGCTAATCAAGGAGAAAATAACTATGTAAGAAATCTTCTTTTATTGGTTCACTGAAAGGGTGAACTATTGATCTCCAAAGACTGCTTAAAACTTTTTAGCTTCCAAAGATAGGTTAAAAGCATAAAAATGCTCATTTTTATCTCTGCAATTTTCTTCCAAGTGACTGGCACTCATCCTTTTGGATTTGATGTAGGGGGTTACATCAAATTTTCTTGACCTAGGGGGTTAACAGGTTTTCATTTAGCCACTAGAACTACTTATAGAACAACTTCTCCCCATTTTGTCTTTTCTTCACAGTTATCTTAGTTAATCTTGGCCATTTGTTCTTCCCTGTACATTTTATTTTTCTACTTTTCAATGTATTTTTAAAATTTTTTACTGAAATACAGTCGATTTGCAGTGTCATGTTAGTTTCTGCTGTACAGCAAAATGAATCCGTGATATTTTAGATTCTTTCTCATACAGATCATTACAGAGTATTGCTTCTTTCTCATATGGATCATTGCAGAGTATTGCTTCTTTCTCATACAGATCATTACAGAGTATTGCTTCTTTCTCATGTAGATCATTACAGAGTATTGCTTCTTTCTCATGTAGATCATTACAGAGTATTGCTTCTTTCTCATGTAGATCATTACAGAGTATTGCTTCTTTCTCATGTAGATCATTGCAGAGTATTGCTTCTTTCTCATGTAGATCATTACAGAGTATTGGCTTTTTTCTCATGTAGATCATTACAGAGTATTGCTTCTTATATGGATCATTGCAGAGTATTGCTTCTTTCTCATGTGGATCATTACAGAGTATTGCTTCTTTCTCATATGGATCATTGCAGAGTATTGCTTCTTTCTCATGTAGATCATTGCAGAGTATTGCTTCTTTCTCATGTGGATCATTGCAGAGTATTGAGTAGAGTTCCCTGTGCTACACAGTAGTTCCTTCCTATATATTTTTGAATTAGTTCGTCAAATTCTACAAGAATCCTTTTGGGATTTTAGTTGGAATTACACTGATGTTATAGGTTATTTTTGGAAGACTTGACATCTTCATGATCTTCCTATCTTTGATTAGAATTTATTTCTCTGTGTATTTAGATAATCTGGAATCTAATTGTATAATTTTGTGCATGATAGATTTTGCATACCTTTTGTTAGACTTTTTAGTACCTTGCATTTGGTTCATTATTGCATTGTTGTAAATGGAATTGTTTAAAATTTTATATTTTCTGTTTCTTGCTGTTATAAAGAGATACTGCTGACTTTTATTTATTGGGTATTTAGCAACCTCGCTAAGTGTTCCTGTTCTGATAATTTATCTAATTTCTTTTTGATTTCCTATGTAGAAATAAAATTATCTACAAATAATGATAGTTTTATTTTCTCCTTTCTAATACATATATATGATATATTTTTATTTTCTTACTGTGTTGAGAAGGATCCTTCGTGTAGAACTGGAAGAAAAGTGGTGATAGAAGACATGCTTTTATTAGGTTAATAAGAGAGTTAACTTTTAAAATTTCTATTGCTAAGAATTTTTCTTTTTTAAAGTTATGAATGGATTTCAAATGTTATCAAATGTATTCTGCATCTTTTGAGATGAACATGTAGATTTTCTTCTTTAATCTGTTGATGGGATACTACTCTCTTGGAAATAACGCTTCTGGCTTTTTCTGCCTCCTGCTCCCCAGGTGATTTGTGGAGCTATGATTTCTTCAGTGGTGAGTTTGTGGTGTCACCTGAACCAGACACAAGTGTCCACACTCTTGACCCCCAGAAGCACAAGTATATTATCTTGGGAAGTGATGGACTTTGGAATATGATTCCACCTCAAGACGCCATCTCAATGTGCCAGGACCAAGAGGAGAAAAAATACCTGATGGTAAGAAGTAACTCAATTCAATATTATCACCTACACATTGTTCTGGTACTTTTGTCAGGAGTCTTGAATATGAACTAAGTGTGTTCCCCTGGAGTAGGTCTTTGCATTTGCCCTGGCTGGAGAAGAAGTAAAGTATAGATTTCTGCAGCTCATTAGGGGAATGATGGATCCTGGAACTGTTTCCATTTTTTGGCTCTTTTGAATGCTGCTGCTATTAACATTCATGGACAAGTTTCTGTGTGGACATGTTCTCAGTTCTCTCACATCGACCTGGGAATGGAATTGCTGGGTCATGTGGTAACTCTGTTACCTGTACTGCTTTATTCAGTTGCAAACCTTGAAACAACCATCAATGAGAAAAATCTTTTCTTTCCTTTATGGCTTGCTTGAAAATTGATCTCTTCATTCTGAGCAATGACAAAGCAAGGAGATTTGGGAAAGTGTGATGTTATTGAAGGCAAGGAAAGAGTGTGTTTTTGGAGCAGTAGCCTGCAGTGTCAAATTCTACAAAGAAGTAGAGGCAGATGGATGAAAACAGGGTATTGGGTTTTACAGTTAGGATCTTCTAATATTAGTGATCTTCAAGGATGCAGAGTTTCAGTTGAAGTGATGGGAGCATTAGCTGACAGGTTGGAGTGACGATGAAAGAGCACTTTGTGAGCCTTGGAAACAGATGTAGTGAGTGTTCAGCAAGGAAAGGGAATTGCCATTGTTACCTTGAAAAGACAGGATCTTGAAAGCAGTTTTATAGTCTTTACAAGAGAGAGTGACAGAATAAGAGAAATAAGAGATGACGGTCCAAAGCACATGGAACTAACTGGAATCAACAGCTCCTTGGTAAAGATGATCTTTTCCTAAGATGAGAGGATTGGTGAAGCTAACTAAGGAGACAGCATAAAAGAACTTGTATTAAATTGCCTGCATTTATTCCGTCAACTACCATGTTAGGCACTCGGTACACTGGATACAAAGGTAAATAGAACATGGCCCTTGCTCAGCATTTGCCATGTGATTGCAACTAGGATGTGTAGATAGCTATCAGTACCGTTTGATTATGAGTTGTTTTAATGATAAGTGCATGCGTACATGCTCAGTCATGTCTAACTCTTTGCAATCCCCTGGACTATAACCTGCCAGGATCCTCTTGTGGAATTTCCCAGGCAAGTATACTGGAGTGGGTTGCCATTTCCTACTCCAGGGGATCTTCCTGACCCAGGGATCGAACCTGCATCTCTGGCATCTCCTATGTTGGCAGGCAGATTCTTTACCACTAGTGCCATCTAAGAGTCATGTATCTATTTAATTCTACAAGCTTGGGTCTAGCATGATGCATTTGGTCAGTGATGTTAGATGTGAAGGAAAGATTAAATAAATATTATTTTGTTTGGCTGTGCTAGCTTGCAGGATCTTAGTTCCCTGGCCAGGGAACCTGGATCCTTGATAGTGAAAGCATGCAGTCCTAGCCACTGAACTGCCAGAGAATTCCCATGTCTGTTGGGTTTATAGTCCTTTTTTTTTGGTTGTGTCAGGGTTTGGTTGTAACCTGCCGGCTCTCTAGTTGTGGCATGCCGGCCAGGTAGTTATGATGCGTGGGCTTAGTTGTCCCTAGTCTTGTGAATCTTAGTTCCCTGATCAGGGATTGAACCCACGTTCCTTGCATTGCAGGGCAGATTCTTGACCACAGGAACTACCAGGGAAGTCCCTGGATTTATAATTCTTTAATGATGAGAGAAAAAGAAACATTTCTATGATGAGTCCATAAGCCAGTTTTATTGGGCTAGAAGAACCTATTCATAAACACCTAAATGAATATTGAAAGAGCATCTATAGAACAATATTTAGAGCAGGAGTTGAGAACTGAGAGAGAAAGGATAGGAAACTTGAAGATTACATAAGGAAGTTTCATGGGTGAGACTCGTATTTGAGCATGTCTTAAAGGTGGAGTTGAATTTACGAGGTTAAGAAATCAAGGGAGGAGAGTGAAGCTTTCCAGACAGATGAATAGAATGTGTAAAGTCCAAGAGACAGTCTCCAACACATTCAGGTTTCACAAGTAACTTGCTGTGATTGGAAAACAAGAGGCAAAAAGGTTTCGAATGGTCTGTTATGAAGTTAGGTGTTTGTAACCAGGTAGTGGAGAGCTTTGGAAAGCATACTCATTGCAGAGTGGAATATAAAATAGAGGGTAGATGATAATGGATGTGAAGATTGCATTTATTAAGATGTGCAGGAAAACGGTCTCACCCCTTAATAGAATTAGACCGGCAGAGTTGGCAATGAAAGAGAATACGTGTCGGCAGTGATTAGTGAAGAATCCCCGTGAGAAGGTGAATTTTGATGAATAGAGTTGTATTTATAAGATCTGTCTTCATCTCTTTTTACATGTTGATTTTTACTGCCAGTGTATTTGATTTTATTTTTCTTAATGAGTTTATTAGGCTGCTTGTTACGTTCCAAATGAAAATTTTTGCAAGCTTGATCTAAGGCAGCAATGTAAAAAGAAAAAGACTGTATACGCTGCACACACACAAGCAAAAAAGAAATACATTAAGTGATAGGATTGACAGAACTTGGGTTTTAAGAAGGGAGAGTATGACACCCAAATTTCTTAGTGATGGCTGGAAGCTGTTATGAAGAAGAAGCAGCACATCGTTTTGTGAGGAGGGATGATTAGTTCATATGTAGGCATGTTGAATAGGAGGTGCCTTTGGTTCACCTGGATAGATATTTTCAGTAGGCAGTTACTGAAAGGCAATGCCTGGAAATGCTACTTTCAGTGTTAACTGGAGTAAAGTAAAGCCACAACAATTTGTGACCTCACCTAGTGAGACAGTGTGGTGGAAGAAAAGGACACAGTATTATGGAGCGGCCCAAGTCAACAGGGGCTTCCCTGATGGCCCAGTTGGTAAAGAATCCACCTGCAATGCAGGCGACCCTGGTTCGATTCCTGGGTCAGGAAGATCTGCTGGAGAAGGGAGAGGCTACCCACTCCAGTGTTCTTGGGCTTTCTGTGTGGCTCAGCTGGTAAGGAATCTGCCTGCAATGCGGTAGACATGGGTTCGATCCCTGGGTTGGGAAGATCCCCTGGAGAAGGGAAAGGCTACCCACGTCAGTATTCTGGCCTGGAGAATTCCATGGACTGTGTAGTCCTTGAGGTAGCAAAGAGTCGGACACGACTGAGTGCCTTTCAAGTCAACAGAATCAGTGAGCTGAGGGAGAACGCAAGTAAGGCAGTAGAAACGGCTGATACAGATTTCCTTTTCGTGGAGCTTTGCTGGGCGGGAGACAGGCACACAGAGGTGAAAGGTGGAGGCCTTCAGCGAGTTCTCAGGGACCTAGTGTTTGGCGAGTGGTGCAACATGCATGTATGCTAGGGGTGGGATAGATTGATGAGTTACAGATTAATGCTGCCTTTCATCAACTGAGGTACGTATTTTTCATATTAGAAGGGGGGCGGGCAATGTTTTAAAACATCATTACACATGATACCTTTCTTAGGAATGCAAGGATAGCTTAATACTAAGATTTTAAAGCAGCTGAGATGAGTTTTTGCAGTTTGCCATCATTACTGTATTGAATACTGTAATATGACCAAGATCAGATAACCGCAAATAAAATTGATTACCTGTTTCCCAAGGAAAGAATGAACAAAAACCCAGTTCTTTATTCAGTTTGAATATATAAACTTTAGGGGTAGAGCTGACAGTTAAATGACATATGTGTTATATATATTTTAATAAAGCATGTATATAGTACTGTAGTACATTATATATTATTATATAGTATACATTATAGTACGTTAATATTTAATCTTGCAACACATTTTATCACATTAAGTAACATTTTTTTCTGCTTATAGTTCATGGCACATTTCTTTTTCAGACATTTCTACTCATTTTCATTATTCAGCTATTTCTAGAGGTACTTTTAAAACATGTAACTTTTCTGGAGCACATCATTTTTCTTTTCTGTTCTTTGAAACTTAACAGTTATAAATCCATTGTATGATGCTTTGGGGGCTTCCCTGGCGACTCAGTGGTAGAGAATGCGCCTGCCAATGCAGGAGATGCAGGGTTGATCGCTGGGTTGGAGGATCCCCTGGAGGAGGAGAATTGGCCATCCACTCCAGTAGTCTTGCCTGGGAAATGCCATGGGGCAGAGGAGCCTAGCGGGCTACAGTCCATGTGGTTGCAGAGAGTTGGACACGACTTAGCAACTAAACAACAACATAATGCTATTAGTCTTATTCTAAGCCACATTTATTTGTATAACATGAGATTGTTTAATTTTTTTCCTTTTTTACTGTTTCTGTTGGTATATATTTGATCTCCATACTATAATGACTTGTATTGCTTTTTTCTTCGTGTAAGTGACATTAACCATTTATGTATGTATGAATGTATGTATAAGCCTTTGACTGAGTGAATCTCAACAAACTGTGGAAATTCTTAAAAAGATGGGAATACCAGACAACCTTACCTACCTCCTGAGAAACCTATATGGAGGTCAAGAAGCAGTAGGTAGAAATGGACATGGAACAACAGACTGGATCAAAATTGGGAAAGGAGTACATCAAGGCTGTATATTGTCACCCTGCTTATTTTTAACTTATATGCAGAGTACATCATGTGAAATGCTGGACTGGATGAATCACAGCTGGAATTAAGATTGCTGGGAGAAATACCAGTCACCTCAGATAATGCTTTTACCCTAATGGCAGAAAGTTAAGAGGACCTAAAGAGCTTCTTGATGAAGGTGAAAAGAGGAGAGGGAGAAGGTGGCTTACAGCTCAGCATTCAAAAAACTAAAGATTGTGGCATCCGGTTCTGTCACTTTCTGGCAAATAAATGGGGAAAAAATTGAAACAGTGACAGATTTTATTTTCTTGGGCTCCAAAATCACTGCAGACTGTGACTGCAGCCATGAAATTAAAATATACTTGCTGCTTGGAAGAAAAGCTCTGAAAAACCTAGACAGTGTATTAAAAAGCAGAGACATCACTTTGATGAGAAAGGTCCATATAGTCAAAGCCGTGGTTTTTCCAGTAGTCACATATGGATGTGAGTGTTGGACCATAAAGAAGACTGAGTGCTGAAGAATAAATGCTTTCAAACTGTGGTGCTGGAGAAAACTCTGGAGAGCCCCTTGGACAGCAAGGAGATCAAACTAGTCAATCCTAAAGAAAATCAACCCTCAATATTCACTGGAAGGACTGATGCTGAAGCTGAAGCTCTTGACCACCTGATGCAGAGAGCTGACTCATTGGAAAAGACCCTGATGCTGGGAAAGATCGAGGGCAAGAGGAAAAGGGACTGACAGAAGATGAGGTAGTTGGATGGCATTGTCAACTCGATGGACATGAGTTTGAGCAAACTCCAGGAGACAGTGAACGACATGAAAGCTTGGCGTGCTGCAGTCCATGGGGTTGCAAAGAGTTGGACATGTTTGAGTAACTTAACAGCAACAGTATACATATATATATATAGCTAAGAATCATTTCTATTTCTCTGTCTCTGAATTTTGTTCATGTCCTTTGACATTTTTTTATGTTGGGGTTGTCTTTGATTTGCAGAATCTTATTTTAGGAGGAAATTGGCCCTTTGCAGTGTGGGTTGTGGTTTTTTTTTTTTTGCCATGAATGATTATTTCATTTGTGAATTATTTATTGTAATACTTCTAAAAATTCATTTTCATTGGCGTAAAGTTGTTTATCTATAATATCTTGATGTTTACTTCCCCCTTTTAGATAACTTCTGTATAACCTTTCTTAAGTAAGGTTACAATGAAGACCAAGTTTCTTGCTCCCAAAAAGGTAAAAATACAGATGAAGTTTAACCACAGGATAAGACTTTGTTTTATTGATTTATTTTTTAATTTAGAGTAATGCTGTCTTAACATAGTTATAGGGATTGTGGAGAAGGTTTGAAATTTTATTTATGTAGGCCTTGTTGAACATTATTAATTTGTATTAATTTGGTACAACCATAGTGGTAACGAAGCCTGAGTTAGCTTCTTTTTTGTTGTTTTACATACAGGGTGAGCATGGACAATCTTGTGCCAAAATGCTTGTGAATCGAGCACTAGGCCGCTGGAGGCAACGAATGCTTCGAGCAGATAATACTAGTGCCATAGTAATCTGCATCTCTCCGGGAGTGGACAGTCAGGGAAATTTCACCAATGAAGATGAGCTCTATCTGAACCTGACTGATAGCCCTTCCTATAACAGTCAAGAAACCTGCGTGATGCCTCCTCCTCCTTGTTCCACACCACCAGTCAAGGTATACAGTTCTCTAGTATTTTAAGTTGTAATAGATGGAATTTCTCTGGTTAGTATTACATGAAAACAGTTTTCAGATTCTTTATAAAATAGGATTTTGGATTTTGTTCTCTAACTTCTTATCAGTACTTCTTATTTAGTGCTTCTTATTTAGTACCCATAGGTACTAAACTGCATGCTGGATCTCTGTAGAGCACCTAATAGACAAGTGACTAGATGTGGCCCTGGAAGACTGTTAACAACGTCAATACTTGGAACATACTGATTCCCTCCAATATTGTGCACATTTGTAAGCATTTAAAAGCTTTTGATGGACTTTCATATGTGGTATTTCATTTGAACCTCATAACCCTGGAAGCTAAATAGTACAGATAATTAACTCCATTTTATAGATAATAAGACTGAGATATTAAGCAGTTTGAATAAGATACAGAATCAAGGCTGAACTGGACCTTAGGATATCAGCCTTTAGAATTGGTTGTCTATTAACATGAATAAGAAACATCATTCCTATTTCTTACCCATATTAATATTGAATGAATTTAAGATGTGCTCAGAAATAAGGTTAAATGCTATAGTATTTCCCTTCCTTCTGATTTCATCCCAATTTTTCCCTACTTTTTTCTAGTTTTCTACTAATAATTAGTAATATTGATAACTGCTGTGATATACCTGGCCTTCTGAGAATGTGCTTTCAGAAGAATGACCACTAGAGCTCTAGTGGTGCAATCGGTTAGCGGGCGGTACTTATACAGAAGAATGACCATTAAAATGGGAAACACAGTGGAATTTTATGTCAGGTATTGAGGCAGTTTTTTAAGATGATCAAAGCTACACAGTACAAAGAATTTATTTAATTTTGGGTATTGTGATCCTGTATAGAGTACTTGGAAGTTTTCCATTATTGCTTTCCTGTCTTTTACTTCACATATTTATGGCAACTTAATTTTCCTTACATGGACTTTTCATTTAGAAATTGACAAATTAATATTTTATGCTTATTTTCTTAAAAGAATTTCTTGTGGAAACTTTCTTTTCTTTGAAAACTCTTGAATAATAATGCAGGTTGAGATCTTTTAAAGTCTCTTCATTCTCTTTTGAGGTTATGTTCACTTTAGAGTTCACCGGTTTCTGTATTTGAAAGTATTCATTACTTTTGTGTTCCCTAAAGTGTTTGTATTTGTAACTGAACTGTAGGTAGTATAGAGGTGCCATAGGATGGAGGTAAGAATGAGGGGAGAGAAGATACTGTAATAGGACATTCTTAATGTTAATCTGTGGATTGGTATTAGTAAAATTGTACAGAAATTACACCAAGGCATAAGTTTTAAGGCGTATTTTCTAAAGACTGACTTTCGGCTGTCCTGGGCCTTGGTCTCTGGTCGCAGCAGGCAGGAAGTACTCTTGGTTGCGGTGCGTGGGCTTCTCGTTGCAGAGCGCAGGCTCTAGGCACGTGGGCTTCAGTAGTTTTGGCTCATGGACTTAGTTGCCTTGCGGCATGTGGGATCTTACCAGACTGGGACGGAACCCTGTCCCCTGCATTGGCAGGCAGATTCTTAACCACTAGACCACCAGGGAAGCCCTTTAAAACATATTTTAAAATTCTGAAAAATAATGATCTAATAATTATACTAAAGATTAGGAGATTTATCTATGGACTAACTTCTGTATAGGCATGGTTATTTGTTAACCATTTAGCCACACCTAAATATGAAAAAGTATTTAGAGCCATTCAGAATAATCACTGTTGTAGGTTCTGGCCCAACAAGTAAATAAAGACAGATTTCTGCTCGAGATTGTGTTCTGTTTTGTTTCTTTTATCTTAGTTAACCATGGCTACGCCTGAGTGTCTCTGATTTATTTCATTGTTATGATAATCCTGTGTTTAGTAGCATGTAGATGAATATAATGACATTTTGGTTGATTTTGAGCAGTTTTTAAGACTTACCCATATTTAGATTAGGCACTTGAGACTAGGTTAGCCATCTACAGACACGCCAGCTTCCGTTTGAATTGTCAGCTAAATCGGTGCTCACATCTCTGTTTTGGGACAAAGATAGTAGAACTGCTTCTGTTTAAGTGATATGTTACTATGGCACACCTTTCTTTCTCCATCTTTCTTTAGGGCAAAACTAATTCTAGCTGTTTTTTTAAGTAAACCAAGAGCTCTAGGAAGGAGGAATGAGGAAGAGAGTTCTTTCAGAGGATTAGCACTTAGTTTAAGTTGCATTCTAGGCACAATTTGTCATTAGCTGTTTACGGTTGGATTGTAAATATATGGAGCTCTCAAAGTGGATCTCTGAAGTGAAACTTTGCAAGTGTGAATTTTTAGGATGTAAGCTCTTAATATCACGTGTTTAATGAACATGTAAGAAGGCTTAGCAGTACAGGTGGTAATTAATCTGAGATGAGTCTCAGAAGTCTAAGCGGTTGGCTGCACAAACAGATGCAGAGTATTCCTGTAGAATGCCAATAAAAAGAGAAGGAAATGGAAAAGTTAAAGGAATAAGTAGGGGAAGAAAAGCCAGTGCACCCGTGGTATCAGAATAATAGTTGGTGAGTTTAAAAGAACACAGCACAACAGAAATTCCAGTAAATTGTGTTAACTCTAAAATCATCCCATTGTTTTTCTTTTGTAAAGGAATTCCATCTAATGTCTAAACCTTGTTGTACAAGCTAGAGCAGTTATGTTCTGCTCCTATAAGTGGCCTGATTAGTATCTTTTTTTCTGATCCCTAAATTAGTAATGTACTTGTTTGGTAGTAGGAAGTCTTCTGTTCACAGAATTTATCTGCTGCCTGGTCTTGTTGCAAATCCTTTTTCTATATTAAAGCAGATGAACCTTTAGTCAACATTTACTTTTGGTGAGGTATAGTTTTCTGTGATCAGTCAGTACATGCTTGTGATCAGGGTAGGCATTGGAATCAACCTAATGCAGAGGGGATAAATTCACAGACAGGTTGTCGTTGATATTGCTGAAAGCCACATGTGAATGTTCTAGAATAGAGACTGTTCTGTTATCCATGCTCAACACCGGTACTTTGAAATAAGATTGCTGCCCAACATCTAGTCAGTGTTAAAACAGATAAGAATTGGGCTTTCAATAAACCATGCAATGTAAAATAAATAAATGAACCAGTGACCCCAGAAAGAAAGAAATATACTTAGGTGTGTTTTTTTTTTTTTTCTTAAGGGTCTTTCCTGATGGTCCAGTGGCTAAGACTTCAGGTTCCCAATGCAGGGGACCTGGGTTCAATCCCTGGTCAGGGAACTAAATCCTACATGCTGCAGCTAAGAGTTTGCATGTTGCAGCCATCCTGCATGCTGCAACTAAGACATAGCACAGCCAAATAAATAAATAAAAGCATTTTAAAAAGCTTAGCAGTATTCTATTTGGGGCAGTACTGCGTTAGGAACTTCAGAGTTTCTCATCTCTAGCCTCCAGTGGACCTAAAGTTGGTTTATTTTTCTTAGTAAAGCGTGTTCATGTTTATAGTTAAATTGAAATGCTTTTAGATTCCTCCAGTTTTCCTTTTTCTTCTTAATTCTAGAAACATTAAAGGAAACATTACTTTTATAAATATGCTTTTTTATAAAGCACTTTTCCAAAAGGTGTTTATTCATGGGGAATTTTATATCAGAAGGTGACTAGTAATATATCTTTAGTTATCATTCTAAATACAAAAGGATTTACTTAGGCTTTTCAGAAAATATTTTAATAAATTTGATTTGATTGAAAGAGGAAAGATTGAGGGAAATGATACACACTTCGGAAAGAGGAAGTATTTATGCTTAAAACTTGTCCTTGGAAAAGTTATTAAAATAGTGATTTTATAAAATATTAAAATAGTGGAAGATTCTTATTTGATAGGAAGAATATTCTTGTCTGGAGATGGGAGGATATTCCGAAAACATTTAGATTTGGGGCACTATACCTAAAGTAGTGCATATCTGTACCTCCTTGTGAAGCTTTTAAGAAACAGCACCTGAAAGTTCCATATGATTTCGTTTGTATCTTTGCAAGTTGCCCTAGCCATTCCCATATATCCTATTTTCTCAAATCCCAGACTTTCCCGTATATCCTATTTTCTCAAATCCCAGACATTCCCGTATATTGTATTTTCTCAAATCCCAGAACAGCATCTAGTGTTCAGGAGATGGGTGCAAAGCAACAATCTGAATTTCCATTGTGACAGAATTGCTTTAATGTCTCACTTTACCTTGTCCACACTACTAGATATTCAGAAATTAAGTCTAGAAAGTAGGAAATAAACCCCCCAAGTAAACAGTTTTTCATTTATTCTAATGAAACCCTTTCATTTCCCCAATGGTTAAGCTGAATTCTAGGATAAATTATTTCTCACTTGGTCTTACCTTCTTGTTTTTCAGTCCCTGGAGGAGGACCCATGGCCAAGGCTGAACTCCAAGGACCATATACCTGCCCTTGTCCGTAGTAATGCCTTTTCAGAGAATTATTTAGAAGTCCCACCTGAGCTAGCTCGGGGGAATGTTCAGGCTGCAGTCATATCCTCAAAAGATCCAGAGCCACTGGAAGAAAATTGCACTAAAGCCCTCACTTTAAGGATACATGATTCTTTGAATAATAGCCTGTCCGTTGGCCTGGTGCCTACCAATTCAACAAACACCATCCTGGACCAAAAAAATGTGAAGATATCGACCCCAGGTCAAATGAAAGCCCAAGAAGTTGAAAGAACCCCTCCAGCAAACTTCAAAAGGACATTAGAAGAATCCAACTCTGGCCCTCTTATGAAGAAGCACAGACGGAATGGTTTAAGTCGTAGTAGTAGTGCTCAGCCTGCAAGCCTCCCCACAACCTCCCAGCGCAAGAACTCTGTTAAACTTACCATGCGACGCAGACTCAGGGGCCAGAAGAAAATTGGAAATCCTTTACTTCACCAGCACAGAAAAACTGTTTGTGTTTGCTGAAATATGTCTGGAAATTTTTTCCAAACTTCTTAAGAGGGCTTTTTTGAATTTGGTGCCGACGTTGAACTTTTTTTAAGGGGACAAAATAAAAATAGTATAAGTTTGACTTTTTGGAATTCAGCAATTTTAGCCTGGCCTGTACTTGCTTGTATTATAAATGTGAATTTTGTAGATGTTAGGGTGTAAGTTGCTGTAAAATGTGTGTAAATTTGTATCCTTCACACAAACTCAGTCTCTTACTCTGATACACAGTAAATGTAACAACAGGGCTAAAGGTTTAAAGAAAAAAAGAATCTATTAGATTTTAGAAATACATTAAAACTTTTAAAAATGATTATTAAGAAATTTGTATGTCACTTGTGATGAAAACTACACAACTTTTTAAAGTAAATTATTAAGCAAACTGGAAAAGTGATGTATTTTCATAGTGACCTGTGTCCCACTTAATGTTTCTTAGAGACAGCTAGTGTCTTTTTAAAATTATTTTTTATTTCTAATTTCATAATCCAGAACTAAGTTTTTCATAGAAGCCGAAGTGTTGAACCATGCAAAAGTAGCTGGGTGTTAGTCTCCTTGTCCTAATTACAATACTATGCAGTATCTCTTATTTCATTTAGTAGCATTTTTTTCTAAAACATTAACCATCAGATTTGCTCACCAGATCTTTGAAGTAGAAGGAGGTATGTTTGCCTAAAGAGATGCCCTTTTCAATCATCCCAGACATTCAGTGGCATTAATAAGTCTTAAAGTAGTTATATCCTCTTCTCGTGTTGGATAAAATATGTGAAGTTTTTCTTGCTATTTCAATAATGGATGGTGCTGCTAATTCCCAACATTTCTTAAATTATTTTATATATCGTACAGTTTTCATTGATTATATGGATATGTTTGTTCATCTAATAAATCAGTGAACTGTTACTGATGTTGCTGAATTATTGTTATTGGTTTGTTTTAATGATATATATTAACATTGTGTTATGCCATGATCAAGCTTTAGAATAACAACTTAAACTGTATGTAATGTTCATTTTTGCACTCTTTAATTTTAACGGAGAGTACATCAACTCAGGCTAAATATCCAATAATAAGAATATGAATAGGTCAGCTATGGTTAATAAGTTATGGTTTGTAAGAATTTGATGAAATAGTATGTAGCAGTTGAAAGTGAATAAAACTATTATTTGAAAAAACTAAAAGGAACTAATACTGAAATACTAAGAGTATGTCGTTTTGGTGTGATGAGTTGTTTTACAAAGAGAACTTTTTAAAATATATCAATTTAGAACAGGACTCTAAATGAGACATTGAAGAGTTAATTCATGCATTCAGCATTGACCATGCATCTACAGTATGCCAGGAACTGTGTAACTGGAAGCATACTAGCTGTAAGAGGACTGAGAACAAGTGCTCCAGGTGAAACATTAATTTTGGCTAGTTTTTCAAGACTAAAGATAGATCCTCGTGGATCAGACAGTAAAGAGTCTGCCTGCAACGCAGGAGACCCAGGTTTGATCTCTGGGTTGGGAAAATCCCCTGGAGAAGGAAAAGGCAACCCACTCCAGTATTCTTGCCTGGAGAATCCTGTGGACAGAGGAGCCTGACAAGCTACAGTTGATGGGGTTGTAAAGAGGTGGACGTGACTGAGCGACTAACACTTTCAATCTCTTGTTTTCAAGACTAGAGTTTGCTTTTCAGATCTTTCCAAGATAATGACAGCAAGTACCAAACACTTTTAAACTCACCTTTTTGTGAAAGATTTTTTCATCTTTATTTTTCAGATCAACTTTTTAATGTAAAAATACTGGAATTTTTCCTAGATTTTATTTTTAGTATAACAGAGTCCAGTTTCATACCATACTAGTAGCTATCTAATACTGTAAACATTTTTGGTTTGAGATACATAACTGAAAGATAAAATTAACTTGTTTTTTTTGGTATGTGTTCCTAGGGCTGTTTTTAGGCCTGTTCTTTAAGGATGTAAAGATGTCATGCAATGTTTCTATTTTTATTAAATTTTATTTGCTTATCACATATAGATCAGAAGTGTAATGCATGATGGAAACTACATAATGTATAAAATGGGTACATAATGAATATACCCTCACTTTAGTCCTCAGGGTAGCCAACAAGTCTACACAAAGACATACAGCTATACATGTATTTTTCTCTTAATATTGTGTCTTGAAGATTTTTCCATATCAGAACATCACAGAGCTTCTCATTCTTTAGTATTTTACCCTGGCTATGTTATTTAACTATGCTACTACTTACCTGGGTCTTCCCAGGTGGTTCTTATAATGCAGGAGATGAGAGTCTGATTCCTGGGTCGGGAAGATCCAGTGGAGAAGGAAATGACAATCCACTCCAATATTCTTGTCTCAGAAATCCCATGGACAGAGGAGCCAGCAGGCTGCAGTCCATGACTTCACAAGAGTTGGACATGACTCAGTGACTAAACAACTACTACTTAACCATGTCCACTGAAAGGAAAACAAACACAATTTCTTCCTTTACTGAAGGTGCCAGATGTGTGGGTTTTCCTACACCAAGAAATGCTCCAATATTCTGCAGATACCACCTGGGTGTCCTACAATTTAGTGTAACACTGTCCATCTGATCCCACAAGGGCTCAGTCTCATAGTGCTGCCTGCACTTAAGATACCATTTGCAAGGCCCAGATTGTCACCTACATTTCTCCTTTGTTGTTCAGTCACTAAGTTGCATCCAATTCTTTGCAACCCCATGGACTGCAGCACGCCAGGCTTCCCTGTCCTTCAGTATCTCCCGGACTGCTCAAACTCATGTCCATTGAGTTGGTGATGCCATCCAACCGTGTCATCCTCTTGTCGTCCCCTTCTTCTGCCCTTCATCTTCCCCATCATCAGGGCCTTTTCCAATGAGTCAGTTCTTCGCATCAGGCTAAAGTATTGGAGCTTCAGTATCAGTCTTTCCTATGAATATTCAGGACTGATTTACTTTAGGATTGACTATTTTGAGCTCCTTGCTGTCCAAGGGACTCTCAAGAGTCTTCTCGATCACCGCAGTTCAAAAGCATTTCTTCCGTGCTCAGCCTGTTTTATGGTCCGACTCACATCCACAATAGGTCCTGGAAGAACCATAGCTTCGACCACAGGGACCTTTGAGGCGGTTGCCGCACAGGTTGCTGCGAGCTCTTCCTGCGCCAGACCCTTAAGTGACCGTTGGAACATGGAGGGTGAGGGCCCTGGCGCCTTTTCCCTCTGGCGCTGGTTTTCTCGGAGCCTTTGCTGGCCAGGCCTGGTGGCCGCCTCCATGAAAACTGCTCCCGGGTGCAGCCCCATGCGGGCTGGCTGTTCTGTGCCCCTGGGCCAGACGATGGCCAAGAAGCTGCTGCTGAGCGCCCCCGCTCTCCGTGTCCTCTGCTTTCCAAGCCCCCCAAGCCTGCCCTGCCGCCTGCCAGGTCATGAACACCCGGCCGCACTGGCTACCAAGTCTTCTCCGTCAGCTCCATGGCCGTCAGAACTGAGATAGCCAAGTGTCTCGGTGCTGAATTGGCGGAAGTCTATGGTTTATCAAGAGAACAATGGAGCCTCCAGTCTAGTGAAATGTGGTCCAAAAAAAAAAAAAGTGGTCCGCTGGAGAAGGGAATGGCAAACCACTCCAGCATTCTTGCCTGGAGAACCCCATGAACAGTATGAAAAGGCAAGAAGATACGACATTTCTACTGGCTGGTATAAACCAGTGTACCCACCATCACCATCTCAGGTTTGAAGCTTTGCTAGAACAGCAAAGGGAACCGTGTTCACCAGTTTAGCATATAATAAAGGCTATAGATGAGCAGATGAAGAAACATCAGCGAAGTCCAGAAGGGTCCCAAGTGTAGGAGGTTCTGTCCCAAGGATTTGGGTTGCACCACCCTCCTAGAAAGTTATGACCAACCTAGACAGCACTTTAAAAAGCAGAGATATTACTTTGCCAACAAAGGTCCATCTAGTCAAGGCTATGGTTTTTCCAGTAGTCATGTATGGATGTGAGAGTTGGGCTATAAAGAAAGCTGAGGGCCAAAGAATTGATGCTTTTGAACTGTGGTGTTGGAGAAGACTCTTGAGAGTCCCTTGGACTGCAAGAAGATCCAACCAGTCCATCCTAAAGGAGATCAGTCCTAGGTGTTCATTGGAAGGACTGATGCTGAAATGAAGCTCCAATACTTTGGCCACCTGATGCAAAGAGCTGACTCAGTTGAAAAGACCCTGATGCTGGGAAAGATTGAAGGCAGGAGGAGAAGGGGACGACAGAGGATGAAATGGTTGTATGGCATCACCAACTCAATGGACATGAGTTTGAGTACACTCTGGGAGTTTGTGATGGACAGGGAGGCCTGGTGTGCTGCAGTCCATGGGGTCACAAATAGTTGGACATAACTGAGTGACTGAACTGAGCCCTCCTAGTGCATCAGTAAGTGAATCAACCTGGAAGCACTCCAAAGCCCACAGTCCAGGGATTTTCATGCTTCATAATATAGGCATGATCAGTTATCTCAATCTCCAGACTCTTCTCCTCCCAGGAGGATGCTAGTGCTGTTACCGAACTCAGGTTTGGCAGCCTGCTGCTTGAAAACTGATACTCAAGAGATGAGTGTTCATTGGAAAGGAAAAGTTGATTTATTCAGGACGTCAGCAACCCGGGAGAAGGCCAACTAATGTCTAGGGTCGAAAAGCCAACTCCGAAGATTCTGCTTGACCATGAAAGTTTTTAAAAAGGGAGAATCATTTGAGGAGGAGGGATAAGTGTCTTCTTTATCTTCCCCTGTGCAGACTTTCTTCTGATTGGTCAGTGGTGAGGCAGAAGGTTCCAGGAATCTTGTGTCAGCCTTAAGATAGCATTCTCCACCTGGGTGGGGCCTCATTCCTCCTGAAGAACTCAAAGGATATTGTTAGGAGCCTTGAGGAGGAGCCACGACCCTGCCCCACAGCTGCACTATTATTTCTTGACTCTTCCCCCTTTGTTTCTGCTTCCCCGCCCTTCCCTGATAATAAGCACCTGTTTAAATTTGCAGAACTCAGGGAAGGTCAGGAGGCTGAATGAACCGTTTCCTACAAACAAGAAATGGGGGACACGGAAAGGAGTGTATCAGAGGGTTTGTATCAGGTAGATATATACGCCCCTTGGGGAGGAACTAGGACTCTTTCATCACTGAACTATTGTATCTTGACTGCTTTCCCATTGTTCCTGTATTGCCTTACTTCCTTAAATGTCATTAGTTTCTGACACCTGTTCAAGGGCACGCATTACAGCCAGGCTTAGATTACAAAATGGCTTAGGCCAAAACGGCTTCTCTTCTGTTGAGAAAACCAGGCCTGGTTCTGTTTCTCCAGGGACTCTCTACCCTTTCAGTTCTTCTTTGTATCCTCTCTTTTTTGTGATTTTCTTTTTTTCCCATTCATGTCAAGAGTGTTCACAATTGCTTGCAAGAGCATTTGTGTAATTTTGCTTTAAAGTGTCAGATACGATAGTCATTTAAGTATTGGCATCTGTTGATTTTTGCGTGTGAATTGAGATTTTTTCTGGTTCTTTGCATACCATGTAATTTAAAAAAAATAATTTATTTTTGGCTGTGCTGGGTCTTCATTGCTCTGCATGGGCTTTCTCTAGTTGCAGCCACGGGGGCTAGTCTTCCTTGTGGTGTGCAGACTTATTGCGGTGTCTTCTCTTGGTGCAGAGCATGAGCGCTGGAGTGCGTGGGGCTCAGTAGTTGCTGGATGTGGGCTCAGTAGTTACGGCTCGAAGGCTCAGAGCGCAGGCTCAGTGCTTGTGGCACGCTGGGTCCCAGACCAGGCATTGAACTGGCGTCTCCTGCATTGCCAGTGGACTCCCAACCACTGGGCCACAGAAACCCCTACCATGTAATTTTGGATTATATCCCAGATACTTGACTATTATGACACCTTATTTAGCTCTTATGGAGATCACTGATATTTTTGTTTTAATAGGCAATCAATCTGGTTAATTCATGCTGTTACAGGAAAGAAAGTGGGGCATGAGAGAATGGTCACTTGCCACGTCTCAGGCAAGTCCCTAGGATGGCTGCTAAATGTGGGTTCTTGGCTTCATGAGGGAAAGAACTCAAGAGCCAGTCACAGTAGGATGAAAGGTTTATTCAGGGGGATACTCCACAGACAGAAAATAGGCCATCTCAGAAGATGGGCGGTTGTCAGTTTTTATTAGGGTGGGTAATTTCATAGGATAACGAGTGATAGGATTATTGCAACTGTTTTGGGGAGGGGGCAGGATTTCCAGGGATTGGGCCACTGCCCACTTTTTGGCCTTTTATGGCCAGCCTTGGAACTCTCATGGTGTCTTTGAGCAAGTCATTTAGGTCACTGATGTATTGTGTTTGTGCTTCAGCTGTGTCCGACTCTTTGGGACCCAGTGGACTGTAGCCCACCAGGCTCCTCTGTCTGTGGGACTCTCCAGGCAAGAATACTGAAGTGGGTTGCCATTTCCTGCTCCAGGAGATCTTCCTGACCCAGGGATCAAACCAGCAGCTCTTGTGTCCTGCATTAGCAGGAAGGCTCTTTACCACTAGCACCAGCTGGGAAGACCCACTGATGTATTACCATGAGCATGTACTGAGGCTCAAGCTCTAGTGGAAGTCAGTCACCCGCTATCTTGGGCCCACCTTGGCTCTAACTAGTTTATATTGAGTCTTCACTGGCTATCATTCTTTTAAAGGTTGGACCCTCCCCATTCCTCTCTCCATGCTGCATATTTTAACACACCTTCTGTGGGCTGTGGTTTCAGTGTCAATTGATCTTCCAAATTCTTTGCCATTGTGTAATTTGATCTGTCCCTTGTGTATATCACCCAGGGGCTAGATGGGGACCTGGGCAGTGGTCTGTCTGCCAGTTTAGTTCTCAAAGTCCTTGATATGCTGATTAGGATTAGATTCATGCCTAATGTATTCAGAGGGATCACTTTCTAGAGTCTCCCTGTACTTTCCCTTTCTTTGGGAGTTCCTCTTTTTCAGGCAGAAAGCTGAGGTTCGGGGCCCATGCACTTCTGTCACTGTGCCTGCATTCGGTGTTTAAATGGATTAACATCTTTGAGTCTTGGTCCTCACATGAAAAATGCAGATAGTATACTACAATGACTGGTATATAAAGATAAATAAGTGTTTCCTAATATTAAATTTTTAGCTTCTCAAAAATGTTACTACAGATTCAGTTTTCACTAATTTAAGCAATCTTTATCCAAGTTTATGTATGTGAAGGGAAAATAAATTATGCCATGGGCATCAAAAAAGAGTTGATGAAACTAATTTTTGGTTTTCAATCAATAGTTTTAATTTCGAGTATCTTTAAGTACAAATGTGTGTGTGTGTGTGTGTGTGTGTGTTGGTAAGTCTTGTCCGACTCTTTTGCAATCCCATGGACTATTGCGTGCTAGGCTCTTTTGTCCATGGAATTTCCCAGGCATGAATACTGGAGTGGGTTGCCATTTCCTTCTCCAGGGGATCATCCTACGCCAGGGATCAAACCTGTGTCTCCTGCATTGGCAGGCAAATCCTTTACCACCGAGCCACCTGGGAAGTCGTTAAGTGTAAACACCAGCTCCAAACTGTAAGATAAACTGTTGGGGTTCTGACACCTAATTTTTCCTGTTAGTGAATAGAGTCTTAAGGGGAATAGAAATGAAACACAAACAATCCCTTCTGTTAAAGAGTTTACATTTTAGCTAAATAGACAATGCAATTTTACATTAATTGCGTAGAAAATAGTTACAGAGTAGTACTAATATGTCAAAGATAAAGGGCAACCATACTTCATGGTTTACCTTATTTTTCTTTGGCTTATTTATTTTTTCAGCCACACCATGTGGCATATGGGACCTTAGTTCTCTGGCCAGGGATTGAATCCATACCCCTGCTTTGGAAACACAGAGTCTCAACCACTGGACTACCAGAGAAGTCTCACTTCATGAATAGAGCCTCACTTCATGAAGCTTTCCTAGCTAGGATGCCACATTACATGACCACTTTATAGATAACAGTTTTAAGAGAATGACAAAGCGAAAGGAAATTATCACTGTATTTTCAGAAAGTTGGCTGGGCTTGAGAATGAACAGAGTGGGCTAAAGAGATCTATGGGTTAGGTTGAAGGGACCCAAGATAATAAACAAATACTTGGAATTTTGAATGGCAATGTGGGAAATGGTGTTTTAGAAACCGCAGTTATCTAGTAATATCCAGGGCAGAAAAATGGCAGGCACTGTTGTAATTAAACAGATATGAGGTGATATAACCTTGAATTATGTCGGTTTTGCAATTCTAAAGTTTAGAATTCTAATTTTTAGAGATTACCACAAGCAATAGTGTGCAAAAGTCTCAGCCTAATGAACGCATCAGAGAATGCCCATGGAGTGAATAAGTAATGTACTCGTACTCACAACTGGAGGATTCTAGAGAAATGTAGTTTTTTATTTTAATTTCATTTAATTTTTAAATTGATTTTTTAATGGGCATGTAATTGCTT